GGGGGAGTTTTGGTGGGTGGGTGGGTGCCACACACCCCACACACAGTGGCTGGAACGGGGGGTGAGATGGGATGGGCAGCTTGGGGAGTAAGGTCGGTCAGTTCCTGCCCCCACATGCACTGTCAAAACAAGCATGCGGCAGCAGCCAGCACCTGGCGCCAGCTCCTGCCAGCAGCACGCCTCGAGGAGCAGCAGCACGGCATAGAGCACTGCCCCGGCTTGCCAGCCGCACACATCGCTGCTGGCGTGGTCCGCAGAGGCAGCCGCACTGCAGGTGGGCGGGGTGTTGCCAGGGAGGGGTGGCATGCAAGAAGTGGGGTGAGTCTGGCTATCCTTACACTTCCAGTGCCGCCTGCACGGCAGCGTCAAGGCCCGCCATAGTACCGGCGCCGCTTGTGCCCCCCCGGGCAAGGGAACACCTCCGAGGAGGGCGACTCGCCTCAACATAGCGGGGCCGCCAAGCCAACGTCGCCAAGCCAACGCCAGAGGAGCTTGCAAGCGCCGCCCCCCGTCCGCAGCGGGAGCCGGCGTGCGTGGAGGGCGGGGGTGGCTCCCGAGAGCAAGCTGCTTCCATAAATCGCACCTTGTGGTGACCCACAAGCGCCATGGCTGGCGAGAAGCGAGGAGTTCGCTTGTACTAGCACGTCTTCAGCGCTTCCGCTCACGTGGCAGGGTTTTTAAGCAGCCGGAATTAGTTGCCACACAATTGATCTCTGTGTGTGGGCAAAAGGTGTCGGAATGGAGGAGCCAACCATCAGGCTCGGGGCCGCAGGCCCAACCATCCGATCGCCCTTGGGCATGGGGCTGTGGAGCTGGGGAGATAGTTGGGTGGGTGGCAGGAAGCGCGTTTCGGCTGAGGGAGTGGGCAGCGCCATTGCCTGGGGCGCCATCCCGACTGCCGCCCGCCTCCCGCCGCCGGTCCCCGCCACCAAACCGCCGCGCTCATCCCATTCTGCCCGTGCCGCCGCCTGATTGCGCAGACGTGGGGGTATGGTGGTTATGACTCTGAGCTTTCGGCAGCCACCATGAGCGGCGCCTACCGCGCGTGCCTGGCCCACGGCTGCAACCTGTTTGATACGGTGCAGTGGTGGGGGCAGGGCTGGGCAGCAGTCGGCACGGCAGGCAGCCGCAATCGAAGGCTTGGCCCCACCGCGCAACAGCAGCGGCGGCGGCTGCGCCCTGCCTTTCACGCCCCTCATCCCAGCCCTACTGCAGGCCGAGAGCTACGGCGGGGGCCTGCTTGGCGGCTGGGGCTCCTCCGAGCGCTTCCTGGCGGCATGCATGCGAGAGGGCGGCGAGGCGGCGGCGGCGCCGCCCGGCCCAGCCCCCGTCATCGTCTCCAAGTACATCCCCCTGCCGTGGCGCCTGTTTGAGCCGCGCTGCATGATGCGGGCGCTGCAGGCCACAGGTGCGGGCGCTGGCGGGGCGCTGCCGCCCGGCCCCATGCCGGGGCTCTGACCCGCCGGGGCCCTGAACCGCCGGGCCGGGCCGCCGCCGGCTGCATTGCGCAGTGAGCCGGTTGGAGGTGGAGGCTGTGGATGTGTACCTGGTGCACTCTCCGGTAGCCACCTTCAACAGCATAAAGGTGAGTGACTTGCTGCCGCACTGGCATCGTGCTGTGGCAGCCGCTGCCGCCGCCCCGCCCCCGTCGCCTTGTTCCTGCTGCCGCCGCTGACGCCCGCGTGCGCGCGCCGTTCCGCCCGCCTGCAGACTCTGGCCAGCAGCCTGGCTGCCGCGGTGGACAGCGGGCTGGCGCGCCACGTGGGTGTGTCCAACTACTCTGAGGCTGAGGTGCGGGAGACGCACCGCGTGCTGGCAGAGGCGGGGCTGCCCCTGGCGGCCAACCAAGTCGAGTTCTCGCTGCTCCACGCGCTGCCGGAGCGCAGCGGCCTGCTGGACGCGTGCAGCGAGCTAGGGGTGGGGTGAGTGGACGGCGGGCAGCCGCCGGCCGCCCGCCGCTGGCCCCCTGCCGCCCCCATGCATGCCTGGTGCGCCCCTCCGGCTGCACAGTGGCTACGCCAGCACGGCACGCCTGCCTGCCTGCCTGCGTGTGTGTGCTGGGCGCAGGGTGATGGCCTACAGCCCGCTGGCCATGGGCAGGCTGTCTGGAAAGTATTCCGCCGCCAACAAGCCCCGGGTGGGTGGCTGGCTGGCGGCGGCGCGGTGGCGGGCGCTGCCTGGTGGCCAACTCGCCCGGGGGGCCGCTCAGCACACAGCGGGCTGGCCCGCACGGGGTGTGCCGCCGTGGCTCTTCTCTCCAGCAGCCCGCCTCCCGCCTGTCCGCCCTCGCACGTGCGCCTGCAGGGCGCCCGCCGCTTTGGGGACCTGCCCTTTGAGCGCATCCAGCCCGTGGTCGACTTGTTGGCCCGGCTGGGGCGGCAGCACGGCGGCAAGACGCCCGCGCAGGTGGCGCTCAACTGGCTGGTGTGCAAGGGGGCGGTGCCCATCCCGGGAGCCAAGAATGCGGCGCAGGTGGGGGCAGGCCCTGGGGACAGACTGGGGGGCAGGGTGGGTGAGGCGGGCGGCTTCCGAGGACCCCAAGCCGCGCCCACACCCGCCAGGCACGCGCGCGCTTGCTGTGGCGCCCATCCGAGGACACACCAGCGCCGCGTGCGCCCCGGCGCAGGCGGAGGCCAACACGGGGGCGCTGGGCTGGAGGCTGAGCGGCGGCGATGTGGGGGAGCTGGATGAGGCGGCGGTGGAGGGCAGCCTGAAGCTGGGGCAGCACGGATGACGCGCGGCTGGCCGCGCTGTGCTGTACATAGACCCCTGCTCCCCTGCGGGGGCAGCTGTTGTACGGTTATCCACACTGCAATTCCCTTCACACAATTCCTTCTCTACATTCTATCCTACGTCAATGCAGTCAGCTGGCTCCCTGGGGCTTGCCTGCGGCCCGCTCAGCCGGCCTGCTCCGCCAGCACCTTGCCCACCGCCTTGACAAAGGCGGCGGCGGGCTGGGCCCCCGACAGCGCGTACCGCCGCCCCGGCTCGCCGCCGCCGCCGCCGCCGGGCCCAACGATGAAGTAGGGCACACCCGAGATGCCCAGCTCGCGCTTCCCGGTCTCGTCGTCTCGCAGCACCGCCGCCCGCCCGCGGTCCTCCGCCAGGTGCCGCCGCACCTCGCCCTCATCCAGCCCCAGCTCCCGCCCCGCCCGCACCAGCGTGCCTATGTCGCTCACGTTCTCGCCCTGCTCATACGTGTAGCGCAGCAGCAGGTCCTTGGCCTCCCGCCCCTTGCCCTGCTCCTGCGCCAGCAGCAGCAGCTGGTGGCCTGCTGGCCGGGGTGTGGGCGGGGTGCCAGGCCAGTAAGGCTTCACAGGGTCGGGAGCGTGGCCAGTGTCGGGTGCCCTGGCTAGTATGTGCTTGTCAGCCTGTAATGGCAAGGCAACGCGAGACGGGTGGGAAGGCCTCCGAGCAGGACCCCACCTTTGAGCGAGGAAGGCCACCACACCCAGTCTGCAAAGGTGGCGCCGTCGGGCGACCCGCTCCGCCGCAGGTCGCCAGTCCTGCCGGCGAGCAGGCGGGGGTGGCTCACAGCCGGCACAGCGCAGGCTGGCGCCTCCGTGCAGCCAACCGGAGCTACTGCAGTGTCTGAAGCAGGCGGGACCAGCAGCACGGCATGCAGCGCCCCAGCGCAAGCCAGCGGCAGGCGCCCAACGCACCAGCCGTCGCCGCCCCAGCGCCTGCGGTTGTACGCCAGGTACTGCTCCCCCCCTGGGTCGGTCTTGTGGTCAATCACGTACGCATGGTACACCACCTCGAAGTCGACCTGTTCCAGCTGCGCTAGCGCCTGGTCCATGCGCTTCTTGCCCTGGGCGAGGCGAGCGGCGAGGAGGCGCAAGGCGGCAGGGCGGGCGGTGAGGAGGCGGCTCGCCCCCTTCCTCTCTCAGCAGCATCGAACACAGATCACACTCACCACCCAGCACCAGGGGCAGGAGATGTCCGACCAGACGTCCACCCGCACCACCGGGCGTTGCGCCATGACGCGACTATGCACGTGTGTTTCTTTCGTGACTGGGGACCGTGACCCGAAATGACAGGAGGGCACACTTCCTGAAGAAGAAGCAGAAGCAGAAGAATCACACGGTGCGGCTGGCGCGGAGTCCACCACCAGCGGGCGCCAGGTCACCGCCGCATGCATGTGCGCGCCGAGGAGCACCATCTGGTTTGGTCCCATGCCATGGTCTGAACTGGCTCAATTACAACCATGCCAAAGCTGGGCGGGGCCTCTCATGACTGCACTGGCACGCCCTCCTCTGGGGCGGCAATACGGAAAGCAGCGATGCGAAAGTCGGCACCCGCCTGCGGCTTGGACCCCCCCGCCTCGCCGGCACCCTGCTGCTGTTGCTGCTGCTGCTGCGCTGCCACCAGCGCCACCGCCAGCTGCTGGCACTCGCGCTGCAGGTGTTGCACCCGGCGCTGCAGACGCTGCTGCTCTGCCACGTCACCTGCGGCGCCGGCGCCGGGCATACCGTCAAACCAAGCAGGCAACACGCGGCACCAGCAAGGCTCGACTCCCGCACGAGCCACGCCGCCACATGCTGTTCACCGCGGTGGAGCGGCCGGCCTCCAACAGGGCCATCCTTGCACTCACCGATTCTCAGGCGCTCCAGGGCGTGCACGCGCCGCAGCTCAGCAGCCAGCGCCTTGCAGGCCGCCACCTGCTCCTCCCGCGCCTCCGCCAGAACCTCCCGCATGGCCGCCTCGGCCGCCTGCCCATCCAGCAGCTGCTGCACCAGCTGCTCCCGCTGCTCCTCCTGCTGCTGCGCCGCTGCCGGCCCGGCGCCGGTGCTGGGCAGGAGGTGCAGCAGCTGCAGGCGCAGCGCCTGCGCCTCTGTCCGGCACCGCTCAGCCTCCGCCTCTGCCGCCCGCAGCTTCTGCAGCCACTGCTGCTTCTCCTGGAGCAGGGCTGCAGGCACACGGCAGATGGCGGGGGGCGGGGAGGAAGGGCATGGGTGGAGGGCCAGGTGCAGTCTGAGGGTGCGGGGAACAGGCATCATCATCATGGCATCGCCAGGCCGCACAACAACAGCGGACGGCTGGTGGGTGGCGGCGCCGCACCCGCATTCTGCTCCAGTGCGGCGTTGCAGCGTGCCGCACACTCCAGCAGCTCTGCATGCACCAGCTGCAGCCGCGCGGCGCCGCTCTCCCCCTCGCCGTCGCCGCCGTCGCCTGCTGCCGCAAAGGCGGCCGCCGTCCCACGTAGGCCGGCCAGCCGCGCCTCGGCCTCCTCGAGCTGCCGCCGCAGCCGCGCAGCCTCCTCCTGCGCCGCCGCGAGCTGCTTGTGGGTGGCGGCCGCCGCCCGCGCCGCCTGCAGGCTGGCCTCAGCCAGCGCCGTCTGCAGCTGGGTGTTGCGCCGCTTCACCTTGTCCACCTCAGCCTGCAGCTGCCGGGCGCGCTGCCAGGCCTGGTCGTCGTCGCAGGCTGGCTGGCCCGCAGGCTGCTGCTGCTGCTGCTGCTGCTGGAGCTGCGCCTGCAGCGTCGCCAGCTGCCGCTGCTGCTCCGTCAGCTGGTGCTGCAGGCTGGGCGGCAGCCCGGGCACCTCGCCCTCCTCGCCAGCAGTCTCCACCCCAGACTCATGCTGCTGGCGCTGCTGCCCTTGCCGCCGCCGCTGCTGCTGCATCAGCGCCTGCTGCCTGGAGGGCATGGCATCGCCGCAGCTGCGCTGGGGGCTGGTGTCAATGCCATCAGCCTGGCTGAGCAGGCCGTCCAGGTCACACAGGTCCGACAGGCTCAGGCTGGCTGCCCGCTCCTGCTGCTCCTGCTGCTGCTGCTGCTGAAGCGGCGGCCGCCCCTGCCGCTGGGGCGACGGCTGCGCCCCCTCGCTGCATGCGTCTGCAAGCTGCTGCGCCGCACGCAGCGCGGCGGCGGTGTGCCCCAGCTCCGCCTCCAGCCCAGCACACCGCCCCTCCAGCATGCGCACCTGGGTGGCGGCATGCTCCAGGTCGGCAGCCAGCTGCTGCTCCCGCCGCCGCTGCTCCTCAGAGGCGCCCGCAAAGTCCTGCAGCGAGTCCAGCTGGTGCAGCTGGCGCTGCGCAGCCAGCAGGCTCGCCTGCAGCTCTGCGTTCTGCTGGGACAGCTGGGCCGCCTGCTGCCGCGCCGCCGCAAGCTCCTGCCCGGCCGCCTGGCGCCTGCGCTCCGCCTGCGACAGCAGGATCCTGTCGCTGGCGGACTTGCGGCGCAGCCGCTGAAGCTCAATCTCCACCTGGGCTGCAAGCCCATCGCTGCCAGCGGCCGGTTTCGAGTGCAGCTTGATCTCTGCCGTCGCCGCTCTCCTGGCCGCCGCCACCGCCCAGCCGCCGGCCTGCTTCAGCTGGGCCTCCAGGTTCTCCACCGCTGCGCCCAACAGATGGTTCTCCGCCTCGAGGGCCGTCGTTTCGGCACCCACAGACTGCATTTGCGTATTCGATTGCCGCTTCCCGCCCTCTGCCGTTGAACAGGTGGGGCGACTTTCAGTTGAAATTCCTGACGCGCCGGGCGCCAAACAGGCTCGGAGCCAAGAAATCAGTCGAGAATGGACAGCAGAGAGCATAATGCAAGGGATCGTCCCTGCTGCGGCGCTGCCACAGCCCGCGGGAATGCCCAGATGCCGAGCTTTGCCTCTGCCACCGCACGCGTCTCTGTGCAGACTACCCATGTTTGAATGGTTTGTTTGGGACATGAAATGTAGCACACCCAGCACGTTCCCCCAAGCACTTTGCAGTAACCAAAAGGCACGGTCTCTCGGGTCTCGCTCGCTCGCTCCCGCACTCTGCGCTCTGCCACCCCACGCCGCCCTCTACCGCCGCAGCTCGTCGTGAGGCAGCTCCTCCTCCCCCTTCTCCGCCTCCCCGCCAGCACCAGCATCAGTGCCGTTGCCCGCGGTGCCGTTGCCCGCGGCGCCACCATCGGTGGCACTGGCGGCGGTGCCATTGGCCTCCACCTTTGGCGGCGGCGGCGGCGGGGGCGGCCGCGGCTGCTTCCGGTTGTTCAGCCGGTTGAAGGCCTGCAGCCGGCGGGGAGCGGGGGGAGAAGGCTTGAGCAGCAGGCACGGCGGGGGCGTGCAGGGTACCGGGCGCAAGAGCGATGGTGGCACCCTGCCGCCTAACCTCAGCCCAGCCCGCCATCCACCCAGCCCGGCCCGGCACCGCAGGCCCAGGCATGCGCGGCAGCCCACCTGCTGCAGGCGCGCCAGCCAGCCGGTGACCTCCTCCGCCTTGAAGGCGGGGTCCTCGTGCGGTGCCAGCTTGGCCTGCTCCTCCTGCTTGCCGCTCAGCCAGGAGCTGAAGTTGTCCACCTGCGGGCAGGCAGGGCAGGGCAGGGCAGGGCAGGGCAGGGCAGGGCAGGCAGGGAGGGAAGGCAGGGGTGAGGGGGCGGCAAGGGTGGGCACGGGAGCGGGCAGGCGCGCCCG